GGAGTCCGCCGCGCCACCATACCCGGAGTCCAGCGTCAGGTCTTCCAGCGTCCTCCCCGCGCTCTTACCGCGTCGGGCCATCGCTGCACTTCATGCTGCACCCGCAGCGCGACACTGGGAAGGGTAATTAAGAGTGGTAAGGCTGCTGGCGGGGCGGCAGGGATGGGGCCACGGGGAACAGTGAAGTGAGAAGCCCCCGCGCGTTGCACTGCACCGCACCGCACCTCACAGAGCAAAGCCGCGCCGCGCCGAGCCGAGCGGCAGCGCACCGCCGGCCGCAGGAGCTGGGGCGGGGGAGGCATGCGCGGGGGACAGACCCAGAGAGGCAGCCAATGGAAGGGCCGCATGCTAATGAGCATCCCCGCCCCTGCCCAGCTGCAGGAAGCCAGGCGCTGCGCGAGCCACGGGGAAACCACGCAGGGAGCGTGCACACGCACGCACACACACACACACACACACACACAACTTCACCCGCACACAACCACATTCACACACAACTTCTCACACACACACACACACACGTTCCCGTTGTTCTCTTCAAGAGGGCTTGCCTCGGGTCTGTGCCTGTCCCCTCTCCACCATATGAGTTCTGCCAGTTCTTTCCTGTCTTCCTCTTGTGTCTTTCTGTAACGCCACGAATGGTGATGGGTGCGCAGTGCGAACTGTGTAATGGGACTAAAAGAGTTTCACTGGCCAAGTACGTTTTGGTTTCCAACTGAACCACAGTGGAGGTACAGTTATATATTCATTTCTCTCTCTCTCTCTCTCTCTATATATATATATAAATAAATATTTTTTTGGAAAAAAAACCCACGCGCTCTCGCGCACACATGTTCAAACACACATACGCTTGTGCACGCAGACACACACACGTGTTCTGGGAGTGGGAGCAGGACTTGGGAAATGATTTTCACCTTTAGTCTCTCTTTTTCTGGTGATTTTTTTGTTTTATTTGGGGGTTTTTGTTTGAACTTTCCTATTTAGGAAAAGCAGCCCCAGGATCATTTGGGATTAGCCAAAAGAGGAAGAGCAGAGTGCTGCAGGAAGGAGGAGCCAGCTCTTGGGGTTTTTAAGAACAGCCTCAATCCTACCTTGGGTATCCCTTAGCAGGTAGCAAACACAATTAGACCCCCCAGCAGTTGGGAATTCTTGTGAGGGTAAATATGCTGCTCCATGGTATGCACACCAGTGTGGATACTTCAGGCCTTTGGACAGCATCTACGCCTGGAATAAGCTTCTCTGCTTCCTGCCTCCCATTTAATCGCATGTGGAGCAACCCAAGCAGCATTGCAAGATGAAGCATGCACACTTGAATGGGACCTGGTATAACCTGCCTGCAATGAGGACTTGTATAGCCTGACGTTTTCCTCTCAGAAGCCCTCTGGTACCTTTGTCCTGTCCTTGAAAAAAAATGATATATTTATAGAAGTGAATATTAATATATACATATATACATATATATACATATATACAATGATCACTTCAGTGATCTTTTATTTCTTAATTCAGAAAAAGATATATCTATACTTCTGAGAGAGAAAAGATTACTAAAGTGAATCTAGACAACCGCTGAGCTCAAAATCTGCCTGTTTGTATCCTGCCTGAGCAGAGGCTACCTCTCTCCTTCCTGGGTTTTCATTCAATGTAATTTTTATGCTTGCAGTGCCTCGCAGGCATGGCAGTTGCAGCTCCCGAGGTGGCTGCAAGACTGAAAAAAACCCTAGCATTTTGGAGGCAGTCTTGAGAAGTCATCTACAGCCCAAGTTTCAAGCCAAAAACCTGAGGCTGGGCTGATGTAACTCTTAGTTTTAGTCTGCAGTTGACTACAGTGGTGAGAAAAAACCTTAACAACTAGAAACCAGAATCTGTGTTCTTCTTCAAAGGGACTTTGCATGTCAGAAAACTACAAAATGCCCATAGACCCCATTTCCACAAAGCACTTAAGCATGCAAGTAACCCCCCTCCCATTAATGACATTACTCATATACTTAAAGTTAACCCTGTATTTAAGCCCTTTGAAGCATGACCTTCTTGTGTGCATTTTAGAGGAGGAAAAAAAGGCAGAAATAGGAAAGTATGTGCCACATTTCTATTAAACCTGTTAGTATTGCTTCCCAAAGAGAGAAATTAGATTCTCAGTCCTTCGCTTCTCTCTCTCACTTTTTTATTCCCATGGTTGGCTGATTTTGCCATAAAAAAAAATTAAGTCACTGGGGGGGAAAAGAGAAACAAGATGATTTGGATCTAAACAGAAACTGCCATGTAATAGTAGCAAACATAATGTAAATCTGAGAAAGCAATCTCCAAAAAATGAGAACAAGTGCACTAAAACCTTTAGTTAGCCTTAAGATTAACTCCCAAAGTGTCACAAAGGTTTTGAAAAGCGAGACCCCTTTTAGTCTCAGTTAAACTATCACATTGACAACCAAAAATCCCTGCACAATAAATTAACAACTTGTCCATTAACAAATTATCCATAAATAGTACATTTTAATCTTAGCTCTGGGCTTTAGTGCTATTGGGAGTTGCATGGCTAATGGACCATGCAAAAGACCAACACTATACTCCCAAGTGCCTGTTCTGAAGAAATGTTACCTCCCCTTCAGTGTAAAATACCAGCAAACATCTATCCCTTTTACCAGGAAACACAGTTCTCCACCCTACTAATATAGTCAGACAAAATTCTTCAGCAGACAAGGCCAGTCATGTAAGAGATTTACCCTCCCGGATGAGTAAAAACCTGGCAGACCTTCAACATAAACTTCCTAAAGAAAAGGTATGAACATGTCTATAAAGAGAAGGTAGACTAAGCAGTTAGACAGGTCGGGGGAAAGTATGACATCCTGCAACATAAATCCTCTTGGTGTTTGCAATTTAAGTGAGGCACAGGCAGAAAACCAAGAGAGATCTTGACAGCATTTGAAATCTTGGTATGTGAAATGCCAGGCAGAATACATCATCACCAACAGCCTCAAAGTCACAGAACCAATATGATGGCCATAGTGTATACCAGAGATGCAGATGGAGGACACTGGACTCTAGTGAGTACCGTGCTAAAGGGTGGAAGGTTAGAGCCAGTCTAACTCTGTAGCAGCAGCCTAGTCCTTGGACTGTGGTGCTCTACAAGAATGGGAGCACTAAAATTAAGGCCCTGTGTACTCTGCGGCAGACTGGATCTAATGTCTGAAGGTAGAGCCCCCTGGTGTCTCCAGAGCTGCACTGCAAGAGATTAGAAATTGTTCATCTTGTGCAGTTCAGCTTCAAATATCATCACTGAAAATCTCCATGTTTGACTATAATATGAGAAGGAAGACACAGCTAATGCAGAACACTGAGACATTTTTTTTCTAACAAATTCTATTTATTCTACTCTGCCCCTACGTTTTCAAAGCGCTGCAACTTTCTGCATTGACAGCACATGACTGCACTCCGAAGTTATCAGGAAGAAACTGGACATTTTGAAAGCTGGGTAGTGAACAGCTGAGGCTATAAGTGTCTGGGGATGTAAAAGGGGCAGCTTGGGAATAAGGGCTTAAGCACATGAGTTTGATGTTTATGCTGCACCGATCAAGAGTAAAATAGTTACTGCTGACATTTAAACAATCATCTTCTGGCTACAGGGTTAACAACCTTTGGAAATTAATTGGACAATTTATATTTCTCAGAGCTATTGTTTCAGACAACCTGCAAACTCCAGAAGCTGTTATAATATTACTGGTTCATAATTGCATAAATGGATGTCAGTTCACATTTGGAAAGGTTTTTTTTACCACTATAGAGCTAAAATTGTAATTTTTGTAGGAAAGTCAGATTTGGTGACCCATTTTTTTTAAGTCTGTAATCCTAAGAATTTGGTAGCCACTGCTGATGTCCTGTATCAAATTACAGAAGGAAGACAACTTCTCAGTTCAGTTGCTATTGTGCCACACTTTGAGAAGATATTTTAATGCTGTTGTAAAGCTAAGGAAAGGGCAATATTAGACTGCTTAAAGCATACTGGTATGTACTCCCAACTCATGTCTCCAAAGGGACTAATTTTCTCACTGAAGGAACTATTCATTGACAGCAGTGCATGTTGGTCCTCATGGATCTTGAAAGATCTTTCAATGCCAGAAGGATGTTCTCTTCATAGGACAGGATGTCTTTTCTGCTGTCTAGTTGAATGAGTTTGAGCATAGATTGGAGTGAGCGTGAGCACTAGGAACACCTAACTTGTATCTCAGGAAATGTGACCAAAGAAGATACAGAGATCCCTTGAGGGGATCAGATTGCAGAGTTTGGAGGGGGTGGGAGAAAGATAAAACCTTGTACCAAGAGTTAAAATGATACAACAATGATTGAAAGATGCAGAGACAGTCTTCAGATCAACCCCCAAAAAGTATATTTCCTTTTTTGTTGGGTCATCAGCAGATGGTCACAATTTGTATCCTATACTGCAAATACCCTACGCTGCAAATTTCAATCCTTGGTGATACCATTAACTGACTTAACCAAAGAATAGTCCCAAAGACAACTGAGTGAAGCAGATATCAAATGAGACAAAAACATAAGCATTTCCAAGTAACTGAGTTTTGTTGTCAGAATTAGCCTTCCAGGCTAGGGACAGACATTCAAAAAGCCTGGGCCTGAATTAATTCACTCTTTGCAGGTTAATCTAAACTGCACAGCTTAAACTGATTAATGACTGGACAGACATTCTCTGTTAAATCAGGAAATGCAGGCATGTGCCTGCAGTGGCTCAAGCTGGAAGTCAGAGGGTGCTAGAGCATGCCTGCCAGCCACTGCCAAAGGGGAGGGAAGACAGATGCCCTCCAAGGCTCTCACCCTTCCCTGCTGGAGTCGAGTGGGGCTAGCATGCCACATAGGATGCCAGCCACCAGCCTAGGACGGGGGAGCTGCTGCCAGACTGAGGAGAGGGGATGGAAAAAAAGTCCTCTCTCTGAAGCAAGCATGTATTGAACACAGCAATTTGCAAAGCATACAACAGGAAACTACCAAAAATCTTTGCCTAAGCTAAGCTATAGCCCAGTAAAACACAGCATACACAACTTAATCTAACTTAAAATGTAAAGCAGGAAGTC